AATCAATATATGCTCTGATAGTTGTGAACTTTAATTAAAAGGTGGAAAAAGGTGAAGCTGGAGTAAAATATATAGAAAAAGTCACTGGGGATCCAGATAAAGAAATGAAGTACTTACATTTTGTGTAAATGCAAGGTGGTATATCATTCGGTGGTATTGAATTGTCTTGCTGTATCAAGGAGATACCTTGCCACAACTGGTTGTTCCCATTAAAGAAAAGAATTTCTGCATCAATCACTGTAAAGATTTACTAATATTCTCTGTGTCCCTGAAGAATCTGGCTAGTTTAGGGCTACTGGAGAATGGAACTCTGCAATCTAGGCATTCCTCTGGCAGCTAGCACAAATTATTGTTTTCTGAATCCCACCTGCTTTCGTGTTCCAAGGGAAGAGCTAGTTTTTGCCTGGGCACAAAGAGATCCTTCAAGCAACAGAAAGTCAGTTGTCCAAGTTGTAAAGCTCCTTATTCTTAGGACTGTATTTAAGTTCCCTCATATTGTATGTAGGAATAGGAAGGTTTAAGACAACTCAGTTGATCAATGAGCATTTATTAAGTGCCTACTACATGCCGAGCACTAAGTGCTAGGTGCTGAGGATACAAATGCTGCCCCCCCCAAAAAAAAATTCAATCCAATTAAAATTCTACTCTCATGGAGTTTGCATTGTAAAAGGGGAGACTACATGTGCACATAGAAGTATGTGCCAAATGGAAACAAGATGATTTGGAGGTAGAGGTCTCTAATAGCTGGGTATATCAGGAAAGGCTTCAAGTAGTGGGTGATGCTTGGGCTGAGCCTTGAAAATATCAGAATTTCTCACAGCTGTAGACAAGGAGGGAGAACATTACTGGTAAAGGGATTAGCCAGAAATGGTAAATGGAGTGCTGTGTTTTGGTAACAGTAAGGCCAATTTGCCCGAGCTGTAGCGTGTACTAAGAAGAGTAATGTATAATAAAAGATGGAAAAGTAGCTTGGGGACAGATTGTGAAGGCCTTTAAATACTAAACAAGAGTTTATATTTTATCCTAGAGGCAATAGGGAGCCATTGGATTTTATTGAATGAGAGAGTGACACAGTCACACTTGTGCTTTAGGAAAATCACTGTAGTAGCTGAGATAGATGAGGACAAGAAGACTCAATAAAGGGATACCAGTCAGGAGACTATTACAATAGTCCAACTGATGGGAGATGATAGCCTCTCCCCGCCCCCATTGATTGTGAGCTCTTTGAGAGAAGGTGTTTGGAGGGGTTTTTTTGGTGGGTTTTATTTTGCCTTTCTCTATATTCTCAGTGCTTAGCATAGTGCCTGGCATATAATAGGTGCTTAATAATTGCCTGTTGACTAACTGGCTAACTGAACAAGGGTGGTGATGGCAGAGTAGATAGAGAAAAGGGATCAGATGCCAGAGATATTGTAGAGGTAGGAAATACAATATTTGGCAAATGATTGGATAAGTGGAGTGAGAAAGAATGAGGATTGTGAATCTGATGTACTAGAAGGATGGTGGTACTCTAGACAGAAACAGGAAAATTTGGCAGAAGGTTTGAGAGAAAGGTAATAAATTCTGTTTTGGATATGCTGAGTTTGAGAAGTCTCTGGAACAACTTATTTGATATATCCAATAAGCAGTTGTTGATGTGGGACTGGACCTCAGCAGAAAGATATAAATTATAATTAAACCCAGTTACCCAGTGAAAGAGTCTTGAGAGAAAAGAGAATGGGGCCAGGACATAACCACTGTGTACACCCTCATTTAGGGGCTGGGATGTGGATAATGAGTCAAACAGAGGAGACTGAGGAATACTCAGATGGGTGGGGAGAAAACTAGAAGAGAGTACTGTCATGAAAATCTAGAGAAAGGAAGAACATACAGATGATGACAGTGAATCGCGCTGCAGAAAGGTTACAAAGATGAGGATCGAGCAAGCACCATCAGCTCTAGCAATTAAAGGGTCACTGATAACTTTGGTAAGAGTAATTTCAGTTGAGTGATGATGTCGAAAGTCAGATTACCAAGGGCTGAGAAGTGAGCAAGAGGAGAGGAAGCAGAGTCGATAAGTATAGACAGATTTTCCCAGGAATTTGACTGAGAGAGGAGAGTTAAGGTATCATAGCTTGAGAAGATGTAGCTAGGGAGATTTGGGCATATTTGTAAGCAGCAAGTAAAGAAACAGGTTCTAGTCAGAAACTGAAATGACAGAGAGTGGGGCAAATAATTAAAAGGGGTGATCTGCTGGTGAAGTCAGGAGGGAATGTGATCAAGGGCACAGGTAGAGAGCACTGGTGGGCCTTGGCAAGTAGAAAGGCCACCTCTTTATCAGAGACTAAAGGAGTATAGAGTCAAGGATAACGAGAAGGGATTCTACATTGAGAAAATATGGACAAAGTCATGTTGCATAGTCTTGATTTTCTTAGTAATTTAGGGCAGGTTGAGGAGAGAAGAACAAGTTTGGAACAGCCTGAGGTGGGAAGGAAAGGAGATGAACAAGTAATTGTGGAGAAATAAAATTAATTGCCTTTGCTCTTTGTTTTATGCCATCACCATTCTTAGACTTTACAGTAGTGTTAATAGCTCATAATACTAAGAGGCACAGCCTATTTGTATTTTAATTGATTTCTGTTGACAGCAAAATACAGTGACATGTGAATGATGATATTGTATTGTTTTGTGTTTTCATCTCCCTATCTAGGTCTTCTCTCTTCAAATCAATACTTCTAGTATTGCTTCTGATCTCTATTATTTTTAATACCCTTATAACTTTGCAATATAGTAGAAAGATTTGGAGTGAAAAAAACCCATAGATTTAAGTCCTGCCAATTATAAGCTGTGTGACCTTGGATAAATCATTTCACTTCTCTGGGCCTCGATTTCCTTATTTATAAAGTGAGCCTACCAGTACAGTATAATAAAGTATTACAAACTTAATAGGGCTGTTGCAAGGATCAAGTTCCAAAACTGTCTCACTTGTCCTTTTTTCCCTCTGAACCTTCTTCTACTCTATATATTTTTAAAAAATGATTCATTAATGAGCCTGTTTTTCTTTTCATTTGGGAGAAGACACCATCACTATCACTATCTCCTATTCCTCTCAGTTTCACCCCCAAGAAATAGAAAAGCCCTCCCTTGTAACACATAAATATAATCAAGAAAAACAGGTACAGACATTGGCTATATCCAAAAATTTCATTCTTCACCTCTAGCTCATCTTCTGTCTGTAAGAGATGGGAAGTATGTTCATTATCATTCCTCTGGAGTTTTGCTTAGTTATTAGCATTGATCAGAGTTCTTAGGCTTTCAAAGTTGTTTTTCTTTACAATGATATAATCATTGTATCAGCTATTCTCCTGGTTCTTATCACTTCACTCTGCATCAGTTCATACAAGCTTCCCAGGTTTCTCTAAATCTGTCCCCTTTGACATTTCTTATGATGCAATAGTATGCCATTACATTCATATACCATAATTTGTTCAATCATTTCCAAATTGAAAAGCACTCCTCTTCATTTCCATTTCTTCTTATGACAAAACGTACTCCTTGAATATTTTTATAAATATGGGTTCTTTTGCTTTTTCTTGATCTCTGTGGACATCTGCCTAGTAAAGGTATATTATTGAGTCAAGGGGAAAATATATAGGTTAGTCATTTTGGATATAATTCCAAATTGCTTTCCAGAATAACTGGATCAACTCACAACCGCACTAATACTGTACAGCCCCTCTGGCAACTGTCATCTTTGTTTTTTGTCATCTTAGTCAATTTACCGGATGTGAGGTGGAAGTTCAGAGTTGTATTTATTTGCTTTTTTCTTATTATTAGTGATTAGGAGCATTTTTATGTGGCTGATGATAACTTGCTTCTCTTCTTTTGCTAACTGTCTATTCACATCCTTTGACCATTTGTCTGTTGCAGAATGGCTCACGCTCTTGTGTGTCTTAAATGTTAGACCTTCATCAAGGAAACTTGCCAAAAAGATCTGTTCCTTGGCATTTTGTTCCTTCCTAATTTTAGCTGCTTTTATTTTGTTTCTGTAAAATCTTTCTAATTGTATGTAGTCAAAATTGTCCATTCTATCTCTTATGATCCTCACTATAGTTTATTTGGTCAAATCTTCTCTCCTAGATGTAGTTACAAAAGGTATCTCTTTCCCTGTGCTCTAATTTGCTTAGGATGTGACCTTTTATATCTAGGTCATGTATCCATTTGGAGCTTATTATGGTATAGGGTGTGAGATGGTGATTTCTGCCAGACTACTTTTCAGTTTTCCCAATAGTTTTTAATCAAATAGTGAGTGGTTCTTACCAACACATTTGGAGTCTTTGGGTTTATCAAATACATGCTATAATATTTATTTGCTTCCAGATGCTATGTTCCTAATCTGTACCACTTATTGACTTTTGTGTTTTTAACCAATACCAAATGCCACCTACTCTCGCATATGGGCACCGCCTATAATCTGCATAGAATTTGCTCAGTCCACTCATTCTATTGGTTGCTAAATAATATCATGGGGACAATCCTGCATATGTTTTATGGTTCAAACAATGCTTGCCTCCCTCCCTTTTTTTCCTCTACCGTCATATGTCTTTGTGCCTCTTCCTGTGATGCAATTTACCCTTTTCTGCCTCCTCCTTTCCTCTTCTCCCAGCGCAATCTTTTTTCACCCCTTGTTTTTTTTATCATCACATCAAAGTCAACTTATACCCATACCCTCTGTCTATGTATACCTCTTCTAAATGCATAATAAAGATACAGTTCTCAAGAGTTACAAGTATCATCTTCCTGTGTAGGGATGTAAACAATTTAACCTTATTGAATAACATCTTTTCCCCCCTTTCCTGTTTAGTTTTTTATGCTTCTCTTGAGTCTTATACTTGAAGATCGAATTTTTTGTTCATACTAAACTAGAAAATTCTTTAAAATGTTATCATTTATATGCATATAAAATGTGGTATTTCTTCATCTAAAATAGTATCTCTTAACATTCCCTTTAATTTATTTAGTGCCAGCACATCAAATATTGCCAGAATAGAAGAAATGGAGAGGCTGTTGAAACAGGCTCATGCTGAAAAGACACGTTTGCTTGAATCTAGGGTAAGTGATCTGTATCCATTTAAGAGAGCCACTTTGGTGTACATGGTAGAAAGAACTTAGAACTGGGAATGAGATGGCCTTCCTGCGTCTACCTGGCTGTATGATCTTGTTAAATAAATAAATTTAAGTTTTGTTGTTGTTGTTGTTCAGTCATTTCAGTCATATCTGACTCTTCGTCACCCCATTTGGGTTTTTTTTGGCAAAGATACTGGAGTGTAACCCTGGGCAAGTCACTGAACTTTGTCTCAGTTACCTCATCTGTAAAATGAGCTGAAGATGAAAATGGCAAATCACACAGCTGGTAAGTGTCTGAGGCCAGATTTAAATTCAGGTCCTTCTGACTCCAAGGCCACCATTCTATCTACTGAGCCACTTAGCTGCCCCATAATTTTAAGTTAAGTTTCTTACTCTGTTGAAATGATAGGCTTGATCTTTAAGATTCCTTTCAATTCAGAAATCCTATCATTCTAAATATATAAATCACAAGCTAGGGTGAATGTAATCTAGAAATTACTTTTTTTCTTTGATAAATATCATGGTTGTATTATTTCCAAGAGATTTTAGATAATCTTTTGTCTTCATCTTTTCCCCTTCTACCTTTAGCCCATGTTGATTATTAGTATGGGAGGCTAGGTGGCATAGTAGATAGAATGTTGGGTCTAGAGTCAGGAAGACCTGAGTTCAAACCCAGCCTCAGACACTTACTGACTTTGTGACCCTGGGCAAGTCATTTAACCCTGTTCTCTCAGTTTCCTCATCTGTAAAATGAGCTGGAGAAGGAAACAGCAAACTGCTGTGGTATCTTTGCCGAGAAAACTACAAATGGGATCACAAAGAGTCAAACATGACTGAAACAACTGAACAATAAGATTATTAATGTAATAATATGTGATTACATAGTAATATTACTTAATGGCATGTTGATATATTACATGTCATATAAATAATGTGTAATAAAATAATAATATTATAATAGGATCATCATGCCCTTATTTCTCTCTATGGTTTTTTGAGAAGCCCCCCAAATATCTTCTTATCTGTCTATAAAGGCCCCTTTCTTTCCCTTTCTCTCCCCCATTCCATTCTAGAATTTGAATAAATATGATCCATATTTTCCACTCTAGACAAGGAGCAGTAGAACAGCAATCATACTAATGTCCTTAAATTAGTAGCAGGCAACTGGAGGTGGGGCACTCCAAGAATAATTCCTATGACAAGAATTTGGATGACAATTTGATTTGAGAAGGGGGTATTCTTCTTAACAGTGAAATAACTTGGAAGAGAGTTAAAGGGATAGCTAGGTGGCACAGTGGATTAGAGCACCAGCCCTGAAGTCAGGAGTGCCTGAGTTCAAATCTGTCCTCAGAACAAACACTTGATACTTACTAGCTGTGTGACCCTGGGCAAGTTACTTAACTCCAATTGCCTTAAAAGAGAGAGAGAGAGAGAGAGAGAGAGAGAGAGAGAGAGAGAGAGAGTTAAAGACTGACTCTTTGTACAAGAAGCAATACCTAGATCCCAGTTATGTTCAGTTATTGAATTTCAGCTTACAGTAATCTCAAAAGTTACCTAGCTCTGTTTATAAATTACCTTATTTTAATTTATCATGTTGACAGAAATCCCTGTGATGGCTCCCATCTTTCATTTGTACAGTACTTTAAAGTTTATAACCTTTCCTTACAATAGGCCCATGAAATAGGTAGTATCATGTTCAGTTTTACAAATGAGGAAACTGAGGCTCAGTGACTTGCTTCATGTTATGCGGCTATTAAGTCTTGGAGCCAAGTCTTGAACACAGTCTCCTGACTCCGCATTCTTTATGTTATATATTACATTGCCACTATAATTATCAAGCACTGTATAAGAAAGATTTATGAGTTTGTCTTGGTGAGTAATAATATCAAACTCTAAAACAGTGATTCTTTGCATGGCATGGTGGTATTTAGGAACGTGAAATGGAGGCCAAAAAACGAGCTCTAGAAGAAGAAAAACGGCGTCGAGAACTACTAGAGAAAAGATTGCAAGAAGAAACTAGCCAACGACAAAAACTAATTGAAAAAGAAGTAAAAATAAGAGAGAAGCAAAGAGCACAGGTTGGTCAGATACTTATTAAATTTGGACAGATTTAGAGTATGTTGCCCTCTTGTGGTCATGTCATTCATTCTATGTCAACAACAAGAAGGTCTTTTGGAGCACCACTGTATAGTCTTCATTCTATCATAAAGAAAAGAAATATCCAGTATGTTGCAATCATACATAGACTATGAAGGGTTTTTTGTTTCTTTTTAATTTTTAAACAAAAAAAAATTCTAACATCTTTTGCTTGCTCTACACCCATGAGCCCATGATCCTTGTCTGTCCTTTCTTCTCCATTCTCATTGCCACCACTCTACAGGCCCTTATTACTACTACCTGAAATATTTCAGTAGCCTACTAATAGCTCCTCCAGCTTGAACTCTCTGCCATCCAAAACTATCCAATCTCTGCCAGAATAATCTTTAGATATGCAAAGATCTATCATGTGACTTCTGCTCAAAAGTCTCCAGGTCCTTTCTGTTGCCTAAGTAAAGCTCAGATTGCTTGACCTGGCATTCATGGCCCTCCATAATCTAAACCAACAGTGGGGAACCTGTCGCCTCAAGGCCACATGTGGCCCTCTAGGTCCTCAAGTGCAGGCCTTTGACTGAATCCAAACTTCACAGAAAAAATCCCGTTAATAAAAGTATTTGTTCTATAAAACTTGAACTCGTCAAAAGGCCACACTTGAGGACTTAGAAGGCCACAGATTTCCCACCCCTGATCTATACTCATCCTACTTTTCTACCCTTACATCATATAACTTCTTGCCCTAAATTCTATCATCAGGCCATATTAGACTAGAGAGTTGCTCTGAACACATTCAGAACTGTTCTAGCTTCATACCTTTGCTCACAATGTCCAGCCTCTCCTCTTTCCCTATTGAATTCCTACCCATCCTGTAAAATAAGACAGCTGTACTAAATAGCCCCTTATGTCCTCCCCAGATCTAGTAAGTCAGTCAATCACCAAGTATTTATAAAGTGTCTCCTGTCTAACAGTTAATGTGCTAAGCAGTGTGTATACAAAGAAAGGCAAAAACACAGTCCCTAATCTCAAGGAGCTCGTATTCTAAGATCTGTGTTCTTCTGTGGGCTAAGATTTGCATTAGATTAGCCCATTTCAAATACCATCTTTAGGAAGCCCTCTCTGTTTCCCCACCATCAACAGTCTTCACCCTCAGACCTCAAATAGCACTTTCTTTTGCCCTTCTGTATTATGGTGTATCATAGGTATCTGTGGGTCATGTAGATTTGTGTCTACTAGACATAAGTAAATTTTATGAAGGCAGAGAACAATTCTTAACTGCTCTTCAATTGCAGTATGATAAGGGTTTAAGAACTATTTGTGAATTAATGTGTGTGTGTATTCTAGAAGCTCATCAGCTAATTCAGATCTTTAGAAAGGAGGTAAATTATTTAGCTTATTTTGTTTGGGGACAGAGGACTTTTTTTTTCTCCTACCGAGCCACAGAAGTATGTCAAAAAAGTAAAGTAAATGTTTCTTTGTACGACTTTGAAAGCATGAGTGAGAGAATCCATTTCTAAGGAATACATCAAAACGTTCTCCTTGGCCATGCCTTGTGGCACAGGCGGTGTTGTATGAGGTTGGTAGAGTCTAGGAAGCAGGACACTTTGTGTCTAATTAGAGAAGTGAAACTTACTGTGTGACTCTGGCCAAGTAATTTAGCATAGCCCTTCTTTGACTCCATTTTGGCATCTATGAAATACTGATGGTAATCACTGCTTTCCTTTCATTCATAGGATCATGATAATGATAAATGATATTTGCACTCTCTGTAAGAAAGGCACTATGTAAATACTGTCAATTAATTCCATTTTGAGAACCTTTCAGATCTAGCATGCAAAGTTAGAGCCCCTGGTCTTTTCATAGTTCACATATTAATAATACATGTTCTGAAATTGTTAGGATTCTTAGATATTCATCTTGAGTCTTTTGTCTAAAAATTTTGTATTTTGAATACTTATCAATAATTTATAATATCAGTCACTCAAAAAATTGCACTATAATATAGGAATGAGTCATAAATGATGTTACTTACTGGATTTTGTGTTCAAGTAACTAGTTATTTTTATTAGTAAACTTATTTTTTTTTCCATTTTTGGAGAGGGCAGCAATTGCCTAAAAGGAAAAAAAAAACATCTGGTAGATGGTCTGTTCTGCCTGTATTCTTCAATCTGTCAAGTTTTCTTTGCACCTAAGAAGTAAATATGTGCTAACAAAGACAAGTCTGGGGAATTAATAATATTAATGAAAACAAAGAAAGGTGGGTATTGATTAGCCAATGGGATGCTGGATTTAGAGCAAGGAAGATTTTGGTTCAGATCCTGCTTCAGACACTTATTAGTTGTATGACTATAGGTAAATCACATAGCTTCTCTGTGCCTCAGTTTCCTCAGCTGTAAACTGACAGGGCAGATGGTTTTGAAGGTCCCCTTCTGCCTCTAAACCTCTTGCTGCCCCTGCTCAAATTGTCTGAGACTCAGGGGTTCAAAGTCTTGCTGATCTGCATCTTTAGAGGGTGTCATATACCCTGTTGAAATCATGGTTCTGATCCTCTCCTGACCCCTTCCCCCAAAAATAAAAAGTATTTGTAGATATGCCTTTAAAAAAAAAGAAGTAGATGTGGTTTAGTGGAAAGAATGGATGTGATGTCAGGACCCCAATTTAAATCCCCGCTCTGATAATTACCACCAGTAAAACTTTGGACAAGCCACTTAAGTCCTCTGATCTTCATTTTCCTCATCTGTAAAAGGAAAGGATGAACCAGAAAACCTCTAAAATCATGTCTAGCTCTAAATCTCTGATCCTATATCTACTACCATTCTACAGCTAAGTAACTAAATGATATATTTAAGAGACTCATATTGAAATTTTACATATTGTCCTCCTTTGCAGAAAGGATACAACAGCAATGAACAAAAAGTTAGACCTAATTTCTCACCATGCTGTTGTAAGAGGACATGGCTTACCTTCTTTCACACTTTTGTGCCCTCTCCTTGAAATAACAATCCTCAGCTTATGTGCTGGCCTCTCTTATACATAGTTGGTATGGGTTTATTTTTGTTGTTGTTGTTGTTTTTGTTTTGGGGCTCTTTTTTGGGAGGGGGAGGCAGGAAGCAAGAGTCACCACCAGGGAAACATCCTTTTTTAATTTTAATAGCTTTACCGTTAAGTACCTAATGCGTAGACTTCCTTGGAGTGCAGAGTAGGAGGGGGGAAGTTGATGAGTGTTGGCTTCAAATGAATTCATCATTCAGAATGCCAAAACTTGAGTAGAATCATTCTCCCAGACTCACATTTACTTTTCCTAATCACTGCTATAGTCAACCACATGTGTTCATAGCATTACTGAATGGAAACCAAATTTAATTAAGCTCCCATTTTGTGCAAATTACTGGGTTCCACTTGTAAAAGTATAGTTTGAGTAGTCACTCCTCTCATGACTAGAGCTACTTATAAAGCTTGTATATTCTAAAGGGCTAAACTGCAGTGATGTTAAGCATTCCTTAATGTGTGGTGTGCTCTGTCAGACTGAATAACATTTTCCTAAAGATAAGATGGATAACCACAAGTCTGGGAAATTAGATAATTTCTTTTATCTTTTTAAAATTGTATTGATTTCTTTTGTTTTTAAATCTCCAGCATCTAGCACAATGTGTGGTACACAGTAGGCACTTAATGCTTGTTAGTTGATTGATTGATATCACCTTCATTTTCAAATATATCCCTCTAACCTCCCCTGTCCAGTGAAGCATCCATTGTAGGAGAAGGAGGAGAAGGAGTAATAAAAAGAAAATGGAGAGGGAGGAATCAGTTTAGGAAAGCTAACCTACTTATTAATCAAGGATTATGGACAGGAAACATTAGTCAATTGATAAATACGAAGTAGAACATCAAAGTTATTTTAATTTGCATTTCTCTCGTTTTTAGTTTTTATACTCAGTCTCTCTGCCTCTTCAAAAAATGGAGAGAGATGCATTTCCTCATGATTCTTAAGAATCAGTCTTTGTCATTATGGTTATACAACATTCAGTTTCTTTGGAAGTACGATTTCTTTGAGTGTGACTGGTTGCTATGTAACCTTTGATAGATATAGGGACTGGACTTGGGATTTAATTCATATGAAGAATCCCAGGTGAGCAAAGTCCTTCTACTTATTCAGCTTGGTGCCTTCTCTATAACTTATGGTCTTAGGGAATTGTCCAAGGCACTGAGAAGTTAAGTGATTTGCTATAGGTTCCACGGTTAATGTGTGTCAAAGGCAGGACTTAAATTTAGGTCTTCCTGGCTTCAGCATGAGCTCTTTAGCCATCATGCTGAATCACTTCTCTGCATTTGATAAGCCACTGGAAACTCTCAGGCCTGTGGTATCCAGAAGAATGGGACAAGAAAACTAGAAGTCCGAGATCATGATAAGGATCCCTTAGAAAGGTTTGCGGTGTTCCACTGTCACCAAAGCCAGTGCCATTATCTGGTGCAGAAGTTCTGCAAAGCTAAAGGGAAGCTCTAAGAAGGAGAACTAGAAATTGGTACTCACGTGGTTTCCTTCTGCTTGCCAAATCCCTGCCAAATTCTGATGAGCAATAAAGCTAAGCCACACCATCTTGGCAGGCCAAGATGCAGAGCTTATCCTTAAACCTGATTATATGTTTTGTGTCTGATTAGGTCATTCTATTCCACCCACCCAAGAACTCAATAATCATTTCAGCTTTCCTTTGAATTTGCATAAGGGAAAAAGAATTTCTGCTGTGCCAAAGTGCTTAGGGGTATTTTATTTTATTTTATTTTATTTTATTTTTATCTACAGATGCCTAGCTTTTTATGTTTGTAACCACAGTGATGTATGCCTTATAGACCAGCCAGACTCTTCTCCTATTTGCATCTCAGGTCATTAGTAATAAAACAATCATTCAACAAGTATTTATTAAGTGTCTGCCATGAGCCAGGCACTATGCTAGGCCCTAGGGATAAAAAGAAGAAAAAAGCAGGTCTGTGCTTTCCAAGGACTTTACAATCTAACTAAGAAAGATAATATTAACATAAATATTTAGAATGTAAATTCCTTGAGAGTAGAAATTGTTTCTTTGTATTTGTATTCCCAGCACCTAGCACAATGCCTGGGAAATAGTAGGGGCTTAATAAATCCTTATTGGTTGATTTATTGTACAGTTATATGCAAAATAGATACATAATAAAGTCCAGGAATTCTTTGTGTAGCATTTTTAATGTATCACTCCTATAATACCATAGCATTTAGGGCTGCAAGATGCTTTTGAGGCAACTTGTTATAACCCCTTATTCTACAGATGAGGAAACTCATACCCATGGAGAAGTGACTTGTTTGAGGTCTGATTGAAAATCCTACTGGCTGCTTATTAAGCTCAAGTTTGAATTTCACTCACTATTTTTTTTAACTTTTCCTTGGATAAATAAATCCCTGCCTTTTAGCTCTGTCTTGTTGGCTAGTAAATCGAGGTGTTCCTTTTGGGGTGTTATGCAGACTGTGAGTTCCTTGAGAGCAGGAACTGTTTTTTGCTAGTTTTGTTTTTGTTTCCCCAGTACTTAGCACAGTCCCAGTGAACAGCAGTGTTTAATAAATGCTTGTTCATTTACTGACTGAGTAATGTTTGCAGAGTAGATTAAGGTTGATCACATGTATCTTTTTTTAGAGTAACAAGAATAAAGTACAGGACACGTTACCAAAGCTAATAATTTGCGTCTGTACATCTTATGTGGACATTCTAATTCATCCTCCTATATTATTTCTACCAAATTCCCTATAAAACCATTTCCAAATCACAGTGTTCTAATTTCAAGTTATAAAAGAACTCTCTTCTTGATTTTATCTGATTCTACTCCTGTTTCTCACATTTATCGCCTTCTTACGTTGTCACTTATAACCACAATCACCTCCATTCAGGTCCTCATCACTGAAATAGCCTAAGTGGTCTCCATGCACCCATTCTTCCCCTCCTCCCAATCCATCCTTCACATTCTTCACACAGATGTCAAATTGATATTCTTAAAGTACAGGTCTAATATCATTCTCTTGCTCAGGAAGTTTTAGTGGCTCCCTATTGCCTCTATAATAATTATAATTATGACAAACATATAATTATAATATAACATAATAATGTTATATAATACATAATAATTATAATAAATAATTCCTCCATTTGTCATTTAAAGACCTTCATGATCTGCCTCTAATTCTATATTTTCATACTGGTTACACATTATTCCTCCTTGTTCATTCTGCATTCCAGTTAATCTGACCTATTTGCTATTCATACACAGCAGTCCATCTCCTATCTCTGTGTCTTCATGCACATACAGATACTGGAATGCTGTCCCCACTCCTGTAGCTCCCTTAAAGGCTCAGTTCATTCAAGAGGTCCTTCTTGAGTGGCCTAGTCTCTTGTAGAAAAATTTGTGTTTATTTTGTGTGTATGCTCTTTTTATTATCTATGAACCAACCTCTTCCCACTCCAAAAGAACATAAGCTCTATTTGGGCAGGCGTTGCCTTGCTCTTTTATTTATATCCTCAGCATCACTTTGCACAGTGCCTGGTCCATAGCAGGTACTTATTAAATGTTTGTTATTTGACTACTTCTCCCTATATTATGCTAGCATCATCCTACTAAATATTTTATCAATATTCTCAAGTATTTTGTGTTTGAATGATTAAGCCTTTTATGTCCCCATATGTATGTCCCCATATGTTAGGTCATTTCTTTTTTCTCAAAATTCTAACATATGGTAATTTTTATGCTTGGCTTTTCACTTGGTTTCAGAAAGGAGGTCAACTTTGAGGTATATGTAGCCTGAAGCTATGCAAATAATTACTACGGTGGATTAAATGGGTTTTGCTCTGTTGTAGGCTCGACCCTTGACTCGCTATCTGCCTGTTAGGAAGGAAGACTTTGATCTACGGAGCCATGTAGAGACTGCTGGCCACAATATAGAAACCTGTTACCACGTGTCCATCACAGAAAAGACCTGTCGGGGCTTTCTTATCAAGATGGGTGGAAAAATTAAAACCTGGAAAAAACGGTGGTTTGTTTTTGACCGAAACAAAAGAACATTCTCCTATTATGCAGGTGTGTGATACAGTATTTCAACCTATTGATTGTAAAAGCTGTTAAAAAAAAAGAAAGAAAAGAAACAAAATGAGGTAGCATTATTGTCACAGTCAATATTTAGCCTTCTGCTCTGAGTCCTGCAGATTTATATTAAATTGCTAGAATGTAATTCTTCTACCTCTTTTTTCTTATATCATGAAAAGATGTTTGCCAGTTCTACACGTTATCGAATCTTATAGCTGAAAGGATCCCTTAAGTGACTTAATCCAATGCTGTTGTACAGGTTGTTGTTTTTGTTGTTTGTCCTTCATTTTAGAAGATGACCAATGAATGACATCATGATGTTGAGGTAAAATAGTGGATGATGGTGAGGTCTTGACTTGCACACGAATTGGATTTAAGTGAAGCAGAGTGCAAAGTCCTCAGCCTGATTCTTTTTTCTAGAGTCATTGAAATCCAGCGGCAGGACAAAAGTCAAGACAACTTGAGGCAGTGAATGAGATTAAATGACTTGCCTAAAGTCACGCAGTAATTTAATGGCAGGGCTAGGACAAGGATCTGTGTCTCCTGACTTCTGCCTGGTGCCCAGCAGTGTAATACAACTACTAAAAAGAAATTAGTGAAATTATGTCCAGAACAAGAGAGGGAGCAATCCCATATTATTCTGAATAGATGTAACTATATCTAGAATATTGTGTTTAGTTTGAGACACTATATTTTTAAAGAATAGACATTTTAAAAAAACTGAATTGACTCTACAGAGGACAATTAGAATGGTGGGGGTGTCTAGCATTTGGAACAATTGAAGAAACTGGGAGTATTTAGACTGGAATAGAAAATATTTGAGTTAGGAACATTATAGTTACTCAGATTTTTAAAGGGCTATTATACAGAAAAGACAGTTTACTTATTTTATATATCTCTAGATCAGCATTTTTTGTGTCCTGGATCCCTCTGACCGACATAGGCTGGTGAAACCTATGGACCTATTCTCAGAATAAGGTTTTTAATTGCAAATGATTACCAAAGAAATCAATTATGTGGAAATATAATTCCCAAGAATTAAAAAAAAATATTTAAGAACCCCAGATATAGAGAGAATAATCATTGAAAGGTGCTAGTTATAGGGATACATATTTTGGCTCAGTATAAGGAAGATATTTCTAACAAAGCAGTTCACCTTTATGTAAATATTCAAGAATCAGCTGAATGCCAATTTATGGGAGCTATTGAAAGGATATTTTGTTATACTATGTTGTTGTTGGTAGCCTGTACAAGATGTTCTGTAAGGTTCTGCCTAACATTTAAGTTTCTATGGTTCTGGTCAGTTTCTTTCATGTGCAAAACATCCTTTGAGACTTTGTTACCTTCTGAATGTTGTCTTGTCTTACAAGATAATCTGAATCATAGTCTCAAAATTGGAAGGGACCTTAGGAATCATCTAATCCAACCACTTTATAGTACCTTTGATGGGTAGTTATCTAGTTTCCACTTGAATATGTCCTGTGATGGGGAACTTGCATCTTCCCAAGGACATCCTTTATACTTTTTCTTTTCTTTTTTTTTTTGAGAAAGCCACAATTATTAGGAAATTATTTCTTAAATTGAGCCACAATTTGCACTGGCTAAACTTTTAGTTAAGTGAATACCTTTTTCCTCAGACAGATTGCCTAACCAACTTTAAAGCTCTCTTGGGAGATAACAGAGTGACCAGGTATAATGTCTTCTGGGTTTAATCACACTTTGAGTATAGAATTTCTTACGTGGCATGGTGGATAGAGCATTGGGCCCAGAGTTAGGAAGACCTAAGTTCAAATCTAGCCTTGGACACTTACTAACTGTGTGGCCCTGGGCAAGTCATTCAACCTCTGTCTGCTTTGGTTTCCTCAACTGTAAAATAAGAACAATAATAGGACATACCTCCTAGGGTTGTTATGAGGATAAAATGTAATATTTGCAAAATGCTTTGCAAACTTTAAAATTATATATAAATGCTTATTATAATATAGCATATTATTATGCTAGCTATTATTATAGTTGATATTTTGTGATATACCCTTTCTCCTCTCTTGATCAAGGAAGGTGCTTACCACCTATATACTTCCTTATGTAAGCTTCTACTTCCTCCCTTTCTGCATCCTTCAGACATCTTTTCTGTGATCTGTAGGAGCTTGCTTTTAAAATGAATTGCAGAGGAGAAAGCATTTCTTTTCCCCATCTGGTAATTTAATCATCAAAGGCTCTACTTTAAAATGTCCACTTAGTCCTTGAACTATAATTTAACATATATGGTGGTAGATAACCAGTCAGCATGCAGAATTTGGTGTCAGAGGAGGGGAAGTGAGTGATGGCAATTTTCCTTCAATTTTTTTCTTTACCCTTCCCTGCCACATAAGGACATATAGTTTATTCGTGAGAAATTCTTTCTCATATATGTCAGTATTATTTAGTGGATTATATAAGCAATGAAGATTCCCTTCTAGTGGCAATTTAAAATAATAAAAATTTTAAAGCATAGATAGGGAGAGCTCCTTTCCCTGTGATCTAGCACACAATAGTTAGCATCGAGTGGAATTTTCACTCCTACATCAGAAAATGGCCTTTTAAAGCCATCAGAATGGAAAATATTTTTTATGTTTGTCATCCGCCATACTTAAAGTCATACAAAATTAGACAAGCTTAGTTGGCAGTCATGCAGCTTGTTTATGAAGTCTATAATAAATGAACTGCCTTGAATTTATTTTAACACTTATCTAATAACCATTTTGAGCATTGGCTGTGAAGATATCAAGAAACAAGTGAACAATGTATGCAGCAGGCTATGGAAGGAGCACTGGATTTGGAGTCAAAGGACCTGGGTTCAGATTCTGGCTTTGCTACTGTATGACCTTGAACAAGAAGTCACCTTCTCTAGGCCTCAGTTTTCTCATTTGGAAAATTAAAGAGTTGGAATAGATAACTTTTAGATTGTGGAACTGGGTAATTTTCTTCTAGTTCTAATTTTGTGATCGTTGAGTCACTAAGTAACTCAAATTTTTATGAATTGTTGTTAGTAGCAATAATAATGGGGCAGTTAGTTGGTATAGTGGATAGAGCACTGGGCCTGGAGTCAGGATGACTCATCTTCCTGAGTTCAAATCTGGCCTCAGGCACTTGGTAGCTATGGGACCCTGGGCAAGTCACTTAACCCTTTTTTACCTCAGTTTTTCATCTATAAAATAAGCTAGAGAAGGAAATGGCAAACCATTCCTATATTTTTACCAAGAAAGCCCCAACTAAAGTCATGAAGAGTTGGCCACAACTGAAAATGATTGAACAATAAAAAAGCAATAATAAAAAAATAATAACAATAACTACTCAAATTTACATAAAAAGAAAAGCCGATCAACAAGCATTTATTAAATGCCTACTGTGTGCTAGACACTGTACTTGTGCTAGGGATACACAAAAGTGAAACTTCTCTTAACCCTTGAGGAGCTTATTACCCATCCAGGGAAGACATGTAGATATTTAGGTATGTATGGAATGGATATAAAACAGATGCAAGATGATTTATTGGAAAAGATCTAGCAAAGGGATTGGGAGTGAGGTGAGGCAGAGAGATCAGAAAGGCTTCATGTAGATGGTGCTATCTGAGTTGAGCCTTAAAGGGAAAAAAGGATTCTAAGAGGGTAAACAAAAACAACAATAGGTATTATTATATATTATTTATATTATATATATTAATTTATTTGATCCTTACATCAGCCCTGGGATGCAGGTACTATTATTACTGTCATTTTGTGGATGAGGAAACTCAGGCAACAAAGGTTAAGTAACTCGCGTGGGGTCACATGAAGGAACATTTATGGAATGGCTTCATGTATAATATGGCAGGAAAGGTAGGCTGGCACCAAATGCCTTTAAGGTTTACCAAGGACTTTCCTTAAATCATCCCAGTGAAGATGGTAGTGTAAGTATTATTAGCCCTATATTTATAAAGGGTGAAAGTAAGGCTTAGGGAGGATATATGACTTTCTGAGAATCTCACAACTAATAGATGAGAACACCAAGATTCAAACCCATTTCTAACCTGACTCTAAGAGACAGTGGGTATGGTTTAACAAAAGGATTATTGACTGTTGGGTAAGAAAAGACCTGCGTTTGAATCCTGGCTTAATCAGTTATTAGCATGTGCCTGGGCAATTTAACTGAGCAAGTCATTGAGCCTCATGTTAGAGAATGTGTGGTACCTTAAGTAGCTTTAAGGAAATGCAGCCATCATGTGACATCATCGCAGCTTCTAGCCATGATCTTGAATCCATGAAAGTGATACATAACGGTATAAATGTAGAATAATAGTTTAAGATTGAATTGAAGAGGCACGTGCTATATTATCCATAGGAGATACTGTGGTTAAAAAAATTATTTTTTTTAGTTTTCACTTGATTTTAGATGCCATAATAAATATAATAATTTATATTTGTTGACAAACATATATGCATATATGTGTATATTTATGTACGTATATATACATACACACAAATTGAAAACAAAAAAATCAGCTATCATTAACATGGTCTATGATAGCATTTTGTCAAAGTCAGATACACATTCTCTTCGAACCCATTCCTCCCCTAAGTGTAGATGACCACTGGAAGGTAGACAAATAGAGACAATAATCAGAAAGAAAAATTGAAGGAAGTGATAAATAATAAAGATTAGAAGTATATTCTGGGGGGCGGAGCCAAGATGGCAGAGTGAAAGCAGTGACTTGCTTGAGCTCTCCTCCAAACCCCTCCAAATACTCATAAAAAATGGCTCTAAACAAATTCTGAAGCAGCAGAACCCACAAAAAGACAGAGTGAAACAAATTTCCAGCCCAAGACAACCTGGATGATTGATCAGAAAGGTGTATTGTGCCGGGCTGGGAGCGCAGTGCACTGCGGCATGGTTGCACAGGCCGCAGCATGGGCACGCAGGCTGCAACAAACCGGGAGCAGGCCTCAGAGGACTGGATTGTGGGCAGCTGTGGAGGT